AAAATAAAAAATTATTTTTTATCTTTTCGCGACCAAAAGTTTGGTCGGCAAAACTTTAATTTCAGCGACTAAAAATTATTTTGGTCGCGTATATATAGTTTTCGCAACTAAAATATTTTCGTCGCTGAAAGAAAAATAAAAAATTATTTTTTATCTTTCGACCAAAAGTTTGGCCGGCAAAACCTTAATTTCAGCGACTAAAAATTATTTGGTCGCGGTATATATAGTTTTGGCAACTAAAATATTTTTAGTCGCTGAAAGAAAAATAAAAAATTATTTATCTTTCGCGACCAAAAGTTGGTCGGCAAAACCTTAATTTCAACGACTAAAAATTATTTTGGTCGCGGTATATATAGTTTTTGCAAACTAAAATATTTTAGTCGCTGAAAGAAAAATAAAAAATTATTTTTTATCTTTCGCGACCAAAAGTTTGGTCGGCAAAACCTTAATTTCAGCGACTAAAAATTATTTTGGTCGCAATATATATACTTTTGGCAACTAAAATATTTTCGTTGCTGAAAGAAAAATAAAAATTATTTTTTATCTTTCGCGACCAAAAGTTGGGTCGGCAAAACCTAATTTCAACGACTAAAAAATTATTTTGGTCGCGGTATATATAGTTTTCCAACTAAAATATTTTAGTCGCTGAAAGAAAAATAATTTTTTTTTTATCTTTCGCGACCAAAAGTTTGGTCGGCAAAACCTTAATTTCAGCGACTAAAAATTATTTTGGTCGCGATATATATACTTTTGGCAACTAAAATATTTTCGTTGCTGAAAGAAAAATAAAAAATTATTTTTTATCTTTCGCGACCAAAAGTTTGGTCGGCAAAACCTTAATTTCAGCGACTAAAATTTTTTTGGTCGCGATATATATACTTTTTGGCAACTAAAATATTTTCGTGCTGAAAGAAAAATAAAAAATTATTTTTTATCTTTCGCGACCAAAAGTTTGGTCGGAAAACTTTAATTTCAATGGACTAAAAACTATTTTGGTCGCGGTATATATAGTTTTGCAACTAAAATATTTTTGTCGCTGAAAGAAAAATAAAAAATATTTTTTTATCTTTCGCGACCAAAAGTTTGGTCAGCAAAACCTTAATTTCAGCGACTAAAAATTATTTTGGTCGCGGTATATATAGTTTTGGCAACTAAAATATTTTCGTCGTTTGAAAGAAAAATAAAAAATTATTTTTTATCTTTCACGACCAAAAGTTTGGTCGGCAAAAACTTTAATTTCAGCGACTAAAAATTATTTTGGTCGCGGTATATATAGTTTTGGCAACTAAAATATTTTCGTCGCTGAAAGAAAAATAAAAATTTACTTTCACTCATCACTCTTTCTCTCTCTTTCTATCTATCTGTCTTCTTTTTTTCTCTTCATTCTCTCTGTCTCTATCTCTGTCTCTCTTCTCTCTCTCTCTCTCTCTCTCTCTCTTACTCATCACTCTTCTCTGTCTGTCTGTCTCTCCTCTCTTTCTCTTTGTCACTCATCACTCTTCTCTATCTCTCTCTTTGTGTCTCTCGCTCATCTCTCTTTTCTCTATCTCTCTCATATCTCGTCTCTCTCTGTCTCTCTTCTCTTTATCTCTCTCCCTCATCTCTCCCTATATCTCTCTCGTTTATCTTTTTCGCTCTTTTTCTCTCTCTCTCTCTTTGTCTTTCTCTTTTCACCCATTTTTTCATCTTACTCTCTCTATTCTCTTTCTCTTTCTTACTCATCGCTCTTCTCTTTTTAACAAGCCCTCTTTTTAACATTTTCAAACCCTAGATCCCAAAATCAAACCATTTAACAAAATGCTCAAAAATCTAGGTCAAAACCCATAGTTGTGAGTAGGAATCCCTACCTCAAAAGATGACACCCAACGAAGAAGATGACGGAAACGAAGTTACTCCAAATCACAAGTTTCTCGGATCAAAAGATAGCCCTCGACGATCAACAACTTTTTTGTAAAGGCCAAAGGTGAGGACACAGCTCTTACTAGATCAATACCTAGAGAGAATGCAAGGTTCTAGAGAGAGAAGCCTTTAAATGGCATTTTGAAAAGTAAGAGAGAGAGTGAGGATGTAAAAAGTGATTTAGAAATGCCCAACTGCCTTCTGATATACGACATTCCCACTCGAGCGGAAAACACAACGCTCGAGGGTCAAGAACAAAAATCTGGACACGCTCGAGCGCAAGAAGGCCCGCTCGAGCGCCAAGACACAAAAATAAAGCACATCCGCTCGAGCGCGAAAACCAGTCCGCTTGAGCGCAAATTTCCCTTTCCCAGAACTTTCACCAAGACAGTACTACCCGCTCGAGCGCTTACAAACCCGCTTGAGCGCGACCCGCTCGAGCGCCGAAAACCCGCTCGAGCGTAGAAATCACACCTGCAGAAGTTTTGCAGGGATACGAAATATTGGGAGTGTGCAATCTCCGCTCGAGCGCAAGAAGACCCGCTTGAGCGGACCGTCTAAAAACTGGACAACAAGGAATTGAAACCAAGGCCTAACCAACCTGTAACAATCCTGCCCAAAACATCTTAAAACTCAAACATACGGAATTAAAGGATGACAACGAGGTAAACAACTATCAACTCCATGGAACCAAAGTCCGGAATACAACAAATACAGAAAGGGAAAACTGGGATCGCTATACTGCCATCGATTCTCTCACGTCTTTATCCCTCTCATTCCATCACTCTCTCTTTCTCTTCACCCATTTTGTCATCTTCCTCTCTCTCTTCTATTTCTCTCTCTTACTCATCACTCTTCTCTGTCTGTCTGTCTGTCTCTCCCTCCCTGTGTCTCTCACTTATCTATGTATTTTCTCATATATTTTCTCTCTCTGTCTGTTTCGTTCAACTCTCTTCTCTCTATATCTCTTGCTCATCTCTCTCTTCTCGCTCTCTCTCATCTCTCTTTCTCTCTCTGTCTCTCTCGCTTATCTCACTTCTCTTTATCTCTCTCTCTGTCTCTCTCGTTCATCTCTCTTCTTTCTATGTCTCTTTCGCCCATCTCTCTTCTCTCTATCTCTCTATCTGTCTCTCTCGTTCATCTCTCTTCTCTCTATGTCTCTCTCGCCCATCTCTCTTCTTTCTATGTCTCTCTCGCCCATCTCTCTTCTCTCTATCTGTCTCTTTCGTTCATCTCTCATCTCTCTTCTCTCTATGTCTCTCTCACTCATCTCTCTTCTCTCTATCTGTCTCTCTCATTCATCTCTCCTCTCTCTTTGTCTCTTTTTCTGTCTCTCACTCTCTATCTCTTTCTCTCTTTGTCTCTCTATCTCTCTCTCAGTCTCTACTACTACTATTACCTCTCCTCTACCATCGCCACTTTATCTCCTTTACCACTTCCACAACTTTACCACTAATCTCCTTCGCCATCACTACCACCAGCACCACCAGCACCTCATATCCACCACCTTTACCACTACTGTCGCTTCCTCTCCTCTACCACAAAAAATTAGTTCTTGATTTTTAGTATAAAAAAAAAATGGACCCCAAAAAAATATTTTTAATTGACCATAAGAATTAATTTTATTTTAACGAAAATTATTTTTCATTGAAATATTATCCCTATTCTACCAAATAAAAAAAGAATTCATTAAAAAAAAATGAAACAAAATTTCCCCTTTTTGTTTCACTGACCCGCCCGCCCAAACTTATTTCCCCCATTTTTTCCGACTTTCCCCCCCTTTTTTCATTTCCTTTCAGGTTTGCAGAGCCCTGTTTATTGACCCGCCCGCCCAAACTTATTGACCCGCCCGCCCACCTTCTTCTCTCTCTCTTTCTCTCTGTGTGTCTATCTGTTTGTCTCTCACTCATCACTCTTCTCTCTTTCTTTCTCTCTCTGTGTCTGTCTGTCTCTCTCCCCCATTGTGTTCATCTTGCTCGTTCTCTCTCTCCACTTTTCTCTATTTATCGAGCCCCCCACTACAAGAAAATGCATTTTTAGCGACCATTTTGTCTCTCTCTCTCTCTCTCTCTCTCTCGTTCATCACTCTATCTCTCTATCTCTTCTCTATATGTCTCCCACTCATCTCTCTCTCACCACCCATCTCCTCTACCACCTTCACCACTACTGCAAATGTCATTCCACTACCGCCATTATTACCACTGTTGCCACTCTATCTCTACGACTACCATTATTACCACCATCGCTACCACTCCACTACCACCACTGCTACCACTACTACTACTATTACCTTTCCTCCACCACTGCTACACCATGTCCTCTACCATGACCACAACTTCACCACTAATCTCCTTCGCCATCACCACTACCACCACCACCACCACCACCTCACCTCTTATCCACCACCTTCACCACTACTGCCGCTCCCTCTCCTCTACCACAAAAAATTAGCTCTTGATTTTTAGTAACGAAAAAAAAATGGGTCACAGTAAATATTTTTCATCGACCATAAAAAATTAACTTTATTTTAACGAAAAATATTTTTCATTAAAATATTACCCCTACTTCTATCAAATAAAAAAAATTAATTAAAATTAAAATAAAACTATTTCCCCTCCCCAAAAAAAATGGATCACAAAAAATATTTTTCATCGACCATAAAAAATTAACTTTATTTTAACGAAAAATATTTTTCATTAAAATATTACCCCTACTTCTATCAAATAAAAAAATTAATTAAAATTAAAATAAAACTATTTCCCCTCCCCAAAAAAAATGGATCACAAAAAATATTTTTCATCGACCATAAAAAATTAACTTTATTTTAACGAAAAATATTTTTCATTAAAATATTATTCCTACTTCTATCAAATAAAAAAAATTAATTAAAATAAAAATAAAACTATTTCCCCCCCTTCTCTTTTTCCGCCCGCCCAAACTTAATTTCCCCATTTTTTTTCCCTCTGCCTTTTCCCCCCATTTTTTTTTTTTTATTTCCTTTCAGGTTTGTAGAGCCCTTAATTTCACAATGTTTCAGAACAGTGAGCAAACCTTAATCTGAGAGAGAGAAGATAGAGGGTTTGAAGAGAGACTGGGGTTGAAGGGGAAGGGTTTCAGTCAGCGGCGAGACTGGTTCAGCAGCGGCGAGACTAGTTCAGCGGCGAAACGGTACGTTTCTTGTGACTCTTCTTTCGACTCTCTCATTCCAGTCGGTTCCTCTAATGACTGGGTTGAAATGGTTCCTCTATATCTCTATGTGACTGTGTATCCTTGGATCAACAATGATGTAGTTTTATAATCCGAACAGATCTTAAACCCTATCAAGCTTTTGACTTGATACATTGTTCAAGATGTAGAATTAATTGGACTCGTGATGGTATGCTATTCTCTCTCATAATTTAATTTATTATCTTTGTTGGGTAGAAAATGATTTAGTGAACAACTAATTAGGCATCAGAGTATATGTTGGAAGTGTTGCAACTCCTATTGCTTCCTTGCAGAATTTCTCTCAAAGGTTAAATAAAATTTCATGCCAAATATGTTTCTCATTAACTTATTGTATTGTTGATATGGGTAATGGAGCCACCACCTGCATAAAGATTGATGACTTTGTCAGTCTCAAACTGGCAAGTGAATGTCTGATATGAGATCCCAATTCTCTATGTTCCATCAGTTCTTTCCTAAAGTGGATCATTGATCACCGTGGGATTTCCATACCTTCAAACTTTTAGTTGAAAAAATTATAACCATCGAATAGGTTTTTATGCTAAGAAATGTAGTTTATGACAATTTTTCATTTATTGTCGACACTCTGATTCCGTGTATTTGTTAGTTGTTGACTGTAATGAAAGTTCCACCAGGTTTTGTTTTGACATGTGAAGAGCTTTGCCTCGACAATCACTTAGTATATGTATGTGTGTATATGTATTGTGTTGTAGCCTAATTCCTCATTTCACACTTCCAATTGATAAGAGATAAAGTAGTTTAAAAGGCAATTAAGCATTTTTATTTACCATATGATTCATATCTGCAAGTTTATGAGGCCAATGTGTAATCATTCTTGTTTATGCATTATAATTTATAACCTAGTTGTTCTATGTCGTCTATCCTCACTATTTTCCATGTGGCATATCATTATTATTGTGGAAATCTGTTATCTGGAAAGAGTAGTAGATATTATATGGGAAAATTGTTGATGTTCATTTGTGGGACATATTCTTATCATGCCTCTGTTTGTTTCTTTCATTGTGGGAAAGATGGAATTTTGCTGCTCGAGGTCAACAGGATGCTACATGCAGGAGGATACTTTGCTTGGGCAGCACAGCTTGTTTATAAGCATGAATTAGCCCTTGAAGAGCAGTGGGAAGGTATGACGAAGCAGAATTTGTTTATAAAATAAGATGAACAGTTATTTTCACTTTAGTGAGTCGATAAGCATTTTTGAGTTTGAGTTTCGAATGTTTGCACAGTTTTCTGTTATACCCTTATATGAAAAATTGTGCACCTTAGTTTGCATTTGATCTCCTTGTTGAATCCCAATTGCTTACAGAGTGACTTCTGCAATTGTTTATAACTTAGAAAAAATTAAGGAATCTGAATTTGGTAACTACCCCAGCTTGGAGAACAAAAATTTTCCAAACTGGTTATGGTACTTAGATAAAATGGCAGGGAAAGGTCCTAGAGCATGTAATATGTTAGTTCACCTGGGTGCCCCATAATTTGTTTAATGAAGGTCAATCTTCCAGTGCACCCAAATGAAGTGTTTCTATTGCATTTTATTGGTGGTCTAAATAGGAGTAACATGTGCAGCACATCAGACAAGAAGTTCAGTTTACTGATCGTTTGTCTTCCTTCATTTTCAGAGATGATTAATCTTACAAGCCACCTTTGTTGGAATCTTGTGAAGGAGGGGTATATTGCAATTTGGCAGAAGCCCTTGAACAACAGTTCCTACTTAAGTCGTGAGGCAGGAACGCAACCTCCGTTGTGTGATTCAGACGATGATCCAGACAGTGTTTGGTATATTAACTATCCTCTTTCTGGTATATTTTGGTGATGCAAATAGTATATTAAACTGCCTTGAATGGTTAAAGTTTTAGATCTCTATTTGACAACTACTATGTCCGTAAGGCTTCTGAAGCATATTCAGTAGTATGACATGTTAACTTCATACATTGTAGGCCTACAGCTTCTGTAATTTATGTGTAACCATTGACATGAAATATTGACAAGCTTTATGTTTAGACCATCAGCAGTAAAAAATGGGACTGTAAACCCTATTGACTTTAAGCACTTGGCCTAGTAATGACATGGGCCCCTGCTAACCCTAGTAATGACTATAAAGCCTAGTAATGACATGGTTCCCTGTGACTTTTTCTCATCCTGCCTTATCATGTCTTTTGGTGTTGTGGTCTTATCATGTGATGCATCAACCACTTTATCTCCCTGGTCAAGAATTTGAAAAGTAAAAAATGGTTTCTTTTTTTTTAATACTATACTTTATATATACCCTTACAAGTTACAAGTTATATAGACGATTTCGCTTCTAAGAATTGATTTTATGTGATTGTGTGCTTATTGATCCACAAAAAAAATATATGTTGATTCAATTTTGTTTATGCAGATATTTGATTTGTTTGATGTGAAATGCAATGGGGTTAGGAGAATTTGTTAATTCATTAGGCATTTTTCATCCAAATGCATCTGCAGCAGACATAAATGAAAGACTCTGTATAGCCCTAAATAGATAAGAATAACTGTTTTAATCTCAAGTTGAATCAGTTTTGCAGTCATTCAGCCTTGTGCAAGATTGTTCCCAATATTCAATGAGAAAAATAAGGAAATTTAGGACAAGTGTCCTCCATAATTCAATGATCAAAGAAAATAATGGAACTAGTCCTGCAGAATTTTCATTTTCAGTATTGCATCACATAATTGATTTGGTGCATATCTACCTGAACGCTGCTTTTCTGAAATTATAGCTCCCTACCAGAACTGTCCCTTTTGAAGGAAACTTCAATTAGGGGTCTCTCATTATCTACTCCAAAGCTAAATTCAGTTTCTGAGAATGCAGTATGCTATTTGTGGGACGGAGAACTTATAATTGTATGAGAGTGTATCTTAAATAAGTATATGTCTTGTTTAGATTTCTGCTTGGAATATTTAGATGAACTTCTAGTTGTTGCTCTTTTCATCATATAATATATTTCTTGTCTAGTAAATGGCAATAATTAAAATTGAATATGCATTTCAAAAGTTTACGCTTTACAAAAAGGTGATGTTATTGATATGCAGGGATCATTCAAATTTTGTCAGTTGTGTACAGTTTTGTATAGATGGTAGCAAGTTCATTACGGTAAGCTCTGATAAGAAGGGTAAAATATATGATGCGAAAACTGGAGAGAAAATTGGAGAGCTGTCCTTAGAGGATGGTCATAAAGGCAGCATTTACGCTGTTAGCTGGAGCCCTGATGGTAAACAGGTAATTAGTGTTGTGTGGATTCTCTCTCGAGCTGCTTCTAGTTGATTTTCTGAGAAATTTTGCTAGTTTTAGACTGAAAAAGGAAATATTGCATCTGCAGAGGATCTGTTGAATTGTATAATAACATTTTAGTGTAACACGGAACATCATTTGTTGGCTAAATTTTGTAATTGGGTTCTTTGCATGTTAGTAATATTATAACCGACAAACTTAGGGAGTGGGAAGGTGTGGGGAACTACAAGATTGATTTTTTTTCTTCTTTTTTCCCCTTAATAGCACAAAATCGACTAGGTTGGACATAAATAATGATTATCTTTCTTATTCACTGAGCAGTGAACCATTATTTCATGGTTTATTTTGTGTCTGCTTTTAGAAATGTATAATACATGTTCCTCCTCTCTCTGATATGGATCAGATTGGTAAAGTTGGTAAAGTTCAAGAAAAAATTAAAATTTTAATTTATTTTATTAAAATAGCATACTTAAAGTTAATAAATTTGATAAAATTAAATATTTGATATAAAATAAATATTAAATATTTAGAAATATGATATATAATAAATATATAAAATTATATGTTTTGCACATGTCCCCAACATATCGTGCCCTGCATCTTTTAAAAATTTGTGTATCCGTATGTCTGTGTCGTGTCACATATCCGTGTCCGTACTTCTTAACTAATAAGAGATAAATAATAGGGTAAATTATGTAGACCTCCCTCAAGTAATAAGAAATATAGATAGCTTCATAGTCTTGGCATGATTACACTGTACATACCTCAAAATTAAAATTCATTTAACACTTTAACACGTACAGTTTGTTAATCTCATGGATGGAAAATAGTGGCCATCACGTTTATACTAAAATATCTATCAAACCCTTAAACGTAGATAATTACTTATATCCAAGCACCAGTATTCCTTAATTGAATCGCATTTTTCTAAAAGGAATCACACTCCATCTTCTCACTCTCTCTCTCTCCCCCTGCTCCCTTGCAACCCAATCTATCTCAGCCACCCCACAACCTAACTCTCCTTCATCACTAAAGGTAGATTACCTTCAGCATAACTACGTCTGCTAATGTTTGCTAAGGTCCCCCAAGTAACTCTCCCTCATAACTGCTAATAGTTAGGTTGACAACGTCTTCAGCATCTGCTCAAACATAGATTACCTTCAGTACTACAAGTAATTCTATTTAGATGAACTGTCCCTTGGAATATTTCGAGTGTATCTTAAACTTTAATAACTTTTTGAAATGCATATTCAATTTTAATTACTGCCATTTACTAGACAAGAAATATTTAGATGAACTTGCTACTATTTGATTTCTTGTAGTACTGCCATTTACTTTTTGATTAGTTACATTGTCTATCACACTGTTGGGCTATTGGTGTTTGCTACTGTTCGTTAATTTTATGAACTTATTGTTTGAATAGGTTTTGATGCGTTATATTAGGACACTTAGCACCTGTAGTTTGGATACTCTGAAGGACTTCAATTATGAAACGGTTGAACCGAGTACATAAATGGTCTTAGGGGAGAGTTGAGCAGAATACTCACATTAGCACAACAAGACATTTCTGTAGTTGACAGGGAGAGTTGAAGAGAAAAGGAGATGGTCTGAGGGGATTCATCAAGCTGTAGGAGCCAAAGAAGGTGTCAAAATTGAGATATCTCTTGAGGTTTCAATCTTTACGGAGTTTTTCTTTTACATAAAAACTTTCTTTCTTATTGTACTCAAAGCCATATTATCCTTACACTTGTTAGGCTCAATTCCTTTAACCCAGCAAAAACCATGATTGATGAATTGATTACAAAGATTCAGTGCTTTTATATTTAATCTAATCATAACAAACTAATCTAACCATGGTTTAATTCTAACAGCCTAACTACTTGAAACAGTTATGCTAGTTCTCTTTATAGCACGTGAGCATGATTGAAGCTACAGCCCTTTCTGTTCTGACTTTAGCTGCTCTGGCTGCGGCTGGTACTGCAGCCTTGCTGTGTTGACCTGGCCTGGTCTTGCTGCAGCTGGGGTTGCAGTGGCTAGCTCTGGCTTATGCTCTATTTTGATATGATGTGCACCTGTCACATTTACATGGAGCTCGATTTGCTATTATACTTAATATAATAATTACTGAGAAATATATCATGTATCCATAATCATGTCATATCATCAATGTAAATTTTTTTTCCTTACTCAGCACATCAAGTTAATATGTATATAATTTGGGTAAAAATAAAGTGGGTGGTGGATTCTTATCATTCATTGTGTTCATGCCAACAGCTACAAAATTATAATGGATGATTCATGTTTTTCTACTTCAAAATCTTCATTGACAGTGCCACAATGTAATTTTGTTTCCTTTTCCTGCCCCCTTAGCAGCCCAATGCTATTATAACTTTAATATTCGGATCCATCATGATTTTTCTTGATTTTTTATGCTATTATAATTTTATGTCTATAGTTGTTAACTGGGTATTTTAGTTGTGGTTTCACTAATAGATAGCTTTTGCTAGAAAATTGAGTATCTTATCTTATTAGTTTCACTAATTGATTTGTGTCTTTCTCTTTGCAGCTAGCAAAAGCAGCAAAAGCACAATTTTCACGTGATTACAGTGATAACCTTGCTTTTGTCCGGGCTTATGAGGCCTGGAAAGAAGTTGAAAGAGACGTAACTGGATATGAATACCGTTGGAAGAATTTTCTTGCTGCTCAATCAATGAAAGCTATTGATGCTCTGTGAAGGGAGTTCTACTCTTCACTTAAGGAATATGTTTTAAATTTTAATGCTAAGTGGATGTGAATTGGATGATTATATAGATTACAAGCGAATTTTTAATTGAACGAATATGTAGTTTGGAATTACTTGTGGATGAAAACTTATAATAGTTGCTGACTTTAATTAAACAGGTTTAGAGTTTGATGATTTATATAGTTTGTTGAATGTTTATGATTTAGGTGAATTGTTGGTTTGATTGATTATTGTAAATTACAGATTGTATTGAATAGATTGGATATATTATTAGGAATTACAGGTTTATTTTATTGCATGTTGGCGCAAACATTCCTTTTGGCGACCAAAACATTTTGGTCCTAGAATGTCACAATTGGTAACCAAAATTTTTGGTCATGGAATGCCACAATTGGCGACCAAACTTTTTAGTCGTGGAATGTGATAATTGGCGACCAAACCTTTTGGTTGTGGAATGTGATAATTGGCAACAAAATTTTTTGGTCGTGGAATGTGCCAATTGGCGACTAACATGTTTGGTCGGGAATATGTTACTTTTTGCAACTAAAGTGTTTTAGCGACTAAATGGATTAGTCACAGTAATGATATATCTAGCGATCAAAAATTTAGTTGGCAAATTTAACTTTTTCCCGACTAACAAAAGTTTTACTCGCTAATTACTTTTACCGACCCTCAATTGGCAACCAAGGTGGCAACTAAAAAAATTGGTCGCGAATAGTTTTTGCCAAAATTGATTTTTGTCGACCAAATTTTTAGTCGCCAAAAATGCGATTTTCTTGTAGTGAATATTGCCAACCAATCTTTTTGGTCGTGGAATGTATTGCTGACCAATTTTTTTGGTCGCGGAATGTGACAATTGGCAACCAAATTAGTTGGTCGTGGAAATGGGCGACAATTGCCGACCAAACTATTTGGTCCTTGAATGTGCGAATTGGCGACTAACATGTTTGGTCGGGAAAATATGACTTTTCGCGACTAAAGTGTTTTAGCTACTAAATGGATTAGTCGCAGTAATTATATATTTAGCGACTAAAAATTTAGTCGGCAAATATAATTTTTTCGCGACTAAAATATTTTTTAGTCGCTAATTACTTTCCGCGACCCTCAATTGGCGACCAAAGTGGCGACCAAAAAAATTAGTCGCGGATAACTTTTGCCGACTAAAAATAGACTTTTGCCGACCAAATTTTTAGTCGACAAAAGTGCGAATTCTTGTAGTGTTAATTATAACATGTGAGTTTATTAGATATTTAACTAAAAGGTCTTTTTCGGATTACCCAATTTGTAATATTGGATCTATTAATCCTCGTAGTTGGTTTCTTAGGATATTCATGTAGTTGTTTCAAATCTGTCAATGTGATGATGCATTATAT